CACTAGAGGTCAGAGGTAAATCACACTGATGGAAGTGATTTGCATGAGGGGAAAGTTCTAGCTCTAAGATTTAAAGTGGTACAACCTTTACCAAGTAGAACTTCTGAACTGCAGTGGCAGACAAAGGGGTGGGATCTAAAATGAAAATGTAGCCTCTTCAGGTTTTGAACTGGCACATTTTCTCCCACAAATTCTGAAAATATTTACTTGAAAAATTATAGAAATAATGAGCAATGACAAACAAATACAAACATGTCCACGTGAAAGAGGTAGTAATTGTAACAGCTCAATATAACTTTATTTTTTTCAGGGGTGTGTGTGTGTTTAGAGACAGAGGAACTAATTTTGTGTGTGTGTGTTTTCAAAGTTAGACACCCCAGCTTTAACGTCCCACTTCACATTTTGGCACAAGCAAATCTGCATTTATTCATCCACAGCTCTTCGCCTCCTCCTCGCGGCTCTATTCAAACCCCGTCTCAAACCCGTCCCTGTGTGCATTGCAGTTTGGGGTTGGACCATGGCTCAGCTCCTGCGGGTTTTTTTCGGGGGGCAGCTCTGACTCAAAAGCCCCCGGCGCCTCACAAAGGACAGCTTGTCTGCGGAGGTGCTCAGAAAGCGCCCGGGTCGTTGATATGCACGGCGATGGGACAAGCCCGCAGCTCTCCCGCTTTACCCACTTGGCAGGATCTCTCTCTCTCTCTCTCTCTCTCTCTCTCTCTCTCTCTCTCTCTCTCTCTCTCTCTCTCTCTCTCTCTCTCTCTCTCTCTCTCTCTCTCTCTCTCTCTCTCTCTCTCTCTCTCTCCTCTCTCTCTCTCTCTCTCTCTCTCTCTCTCTCTCTCTCTCTCTCTCTCTCTCTCTCTCTCTCCTCTCTCTCTCCTCTCTCTCTCTCTCTCTCTCTCTCTCTCTCTCTCTCTCTCTCTCTCTCTCTCGTCCTCTCTGTCCCAACCGCCTCAGTTTTATTTGCCATTTGCAGTAAAAACCACGTTGGAATACATGTGCATAAGTGGCCCAGTGTGCACCAGACAAGAAAATCTAATAAAGGGAGCTAAAAAAAAGTTGTTGCTATGAAACTAATCAACAAAAACAGTTAAATAGTCAATAACAAGAGAAAGACCACTGCAGTGCTTTGTTCAAACTGATAACAGCTGTTAGCGTAGCATATAGCACATTTATGGACATAGGTTAGTGTCCCTTGTGGACCAATGGCTCTATGTGTTTTTATTGTTGCATCATGTTGAGTTTGAACTCTTGTTGGCGACTACCTTGTAGAGTCCATCCATCTTCTTCCCCTTAATCAATTTATTGGCCTGGGGCTTCAGGCAAAGTGGGGTTAAGAGTCTTGCCCAAGGACACAACAACAGCAGACCTCAGTGGGAGTCGGTGGAGAAGGTCTTGCGGTGGACTCGAACTCAAGACCTTCAGGCTCAAAGGCCAATGCTCTACCAACTTAGCCACTGTCGCCCCTTTGTAAAGTCCTGTGAGATAACTATTTTTGTGATTTAGTGATTTACAAAAATGAAAATGAAATAAATGTAAGTGAATATCACCAACGATATCTTTTCAACCAGAGGGAAGGGAAGTCCTTTGAGCCCCCTCGGACCCCACCGCACTCCCCCGCCTCCTGCTCACCAGCACCGGGTGAGTACAACGGTGCAAACACTGCTCCCTGTCTGTCTGGCAGTGCATTACCAGTCCAAACACTGAACTGTGCTGACTCCCTTCTGACTCTGGGAGCTAAAGAACAACAAGGGTTTTCACATTTTAGTCCAATTGAGACTGTGTGTGTTCCTCGCACCAGCTCAAAAATGTTTTTAAATTCTAAAAAACGAAATCAAAACAGGACAGCAGTTAGACGGTCCAACTCTGCAAATCTAATTTCTGTTCCCTGTAGAAATCAATCAACCACATTAATCGACTCTGACGTTATTTTTAAACTTGCTATGCTTAATGTCAGATCTCTATGTAACAAATCATTTTTAATTAATAATTTTATCACTTCTTATGATCTTGATTTTATGCTTATGGCTGAAACACGGCTGGACCAAAATACAGGAAATGCAGTTCTAATAGAAGCAACACCACCCAATTTTAAATTCGAATCCGAAGTACGAGAAAACAAAAGGGGGGGAGGCATAGCTGCAGTTTTTAGAGAGCACTTTGTCTCCCATAGAATGCCCCTTGGAAATTTTTCATCGTTTGAGTATATTTCTTTTAAAATGGAACAAAAGCAATCTTCTACTCTTTTCATTGTCCTGTACAGGCCACCACAGTCATGTTGCGATTTTATTGACCATTTTACTGAACTACTTTCATTCGTGTGCACAGATTTTGATAGTTTAGTTATTACAGGTGATTTTAATGTACATGTTGATAATGTTGATGACAGAAATGCAAAGGAGCTGGCTTCTGTACTTGAGACCTTTGGTTTCATTCAGCACGTGAGTGGCCCCACCCACAGCAGGGGGCACACTCTTGACCTGCTAATTACAAAGGGGGTTAATGTATCAAATGTTAATGTAGTTGATGTTGCTTTGTCAGATCATTTCTGTGTATTTTTTGACATGTGTTTTGCTAGCAAACCACCAGCTGAATTTACAATTGTTAGAAGAAGACACATACATGAAAACACAGGTGAACTGTTCATGGGAATGCTAAATTTTGAGAAAACTCCATGCTCTACTGTTGATGAATTGTATAACTCTGTCACCACCAGTGTTCTGAATGTTCTGGACGCCATTGCTCCTGTGACGGTTAAAATAGTTACCAGTAAGAAAAAGGCCCCATGGACTAAGGCAGACTCGGTCAGGGCACAGAAGCAAGAGTGCCGGAGGGCCGAACGGAAGTGGCGAAAGTCCAATTTCCAGGGCGATTATGAAATCTTTAAAGATGAGTTGGGTGAATTTAACCGGGTTCTACGAAGAACAAGAGAAATGTATTTTTCTGACATTATTGGAGGTTGCAGTAACAATTTTCGTGTTATGTTTTCAACAGTTGGTAGATTAACGAACCCCCCTGTAAAGTTGCCCCTAGAATTTTCCTCTAAATCTAGGTGTAATGAGTTCGCACAGTTTTTCGATGACAAAGTACAAGGAATCAAAAACACTATCACACCTCCACAGCACGTATAACAATGCAACAGCCAGAGAAGCTTTTTGAGCTAACTCAACTTTGCACCTGTGGATACTGAAACTGTCACAAAAGATAACATGTCTCTGTCGTCAGGAACATTTCCTATGGCCCTAAAAACAGCAGTCATAAGACCTCTCCTAAAAAAGAGCAGTCTGGATCCTGCGGGACTTCAAAATTATCGCCCCATATCGAATCTGCCATTCATTGGAAAAATTCTTGAAAAAGTGGCCTCCCAACAACTTACTGAATTTTTAACAATGAATAATTCTTTTGATATGTTCCAGTCTGGGTTTAGACCCCACCACAGCACTGAGACCGCTCTAGTGAAGGTAACAAACGACATTCGACTTCACACTGATGCAGGTAAAGTCACAGTTTTGGTCATGTTAGATCTTAGTGCCGCGTTCGACACTGTCGACCATGAGATCCTCATGCAGAGACTGGAGGACTGGGTTGGTGTCACTGGCACAGCCCTAGACTGGTTTAGGTCTTACCTGGAGGATAGGAAGTACTTTGTGGAGATTGGAGACTGCGTCTCAGATCATGTGGCCCTGACCTGTGGAGTACCACAGGGGTCGATCCTGGGACCTCTCCTATTTAATCTCTACATGCTGCCGTTAGGTCAGTTAATACAAAGAAACAAAGTGTCCTACCACAATTACGCCGACGACACTCAGATCTATGTCTCACTGACTGCAGGAGAACATGGACCACTGGATTTGCTCCTTCACTGTATCCAACAGATCAGTGACTGGATGCAAAATAATTTCCTCCAGCTAAATGCAGACAAAACCGAAATCATTGTCTTTGGTCCCCAGAAACAAAGAGAGGGCGTCATTTGTCAACTTCAGTCTCTCTCCCTACTTCCTTCAGACAAGGTCAGAAATTTGGGGGTAATACTGGACTCAGACCTAAATTTCAATAGCCACATAAAATCAATAACATCAACAGCTTTTTACCATCTGAAGAACATTGCCAAAGTTAGAAATATAGTGTCCAGGGCAGACTTGGAGATTCTTGTCCATGCATTTGTCTCCAGCAGGCTAGACTACTGCAATGGCCTGCTTACAGGTCTGTCCAAACAGACCTGTAAGCAGCTGCAGTACATCCAAAATGCAGCAGCTAGAGTCCTGACAGGAACCAGGAAGTATGACCATATTAGTCCGGTCCTCAGGTCTCTGCACTGGCTTCCTGTGGCTCAAAGAATAGATTTTAAAACAGCTCTGCTTGTGTACAAGTCTCTCCATGGCCTTGCACCAGAATACATTAGTGACATGTTGGTGTCATATGAACCAGCCCGGACTCTGAGGAGCACAGGGACTGGCCTCCTGCTGGTGCCCAGAGTGAGAACCAAACATGGGGAGGCTGCGTTTCAGATCCATGCAGCTAAGATCTGGAACAATCTCCCTGAAAATGTGAGGGAGGCGTCTACTCTGTCAATGTTCAAATCCAGGTTAAAGACTGTTCTGTTTGCCTGTGCATACAACTGAAGGATTTTATCTCCATTTCTAATGCACTGCTGTCATTTATTTATTTTTTTTAAATTTCTTGTGTAATTTTGAAAGTTTTAATGGTTTTATTCTTTTGTGTGATTTTAATGTTTTAATTGTGTTTTAATCTTTTGTGTGATTTTAATGTTTTAATTGTGATTCTGGTGTTTGTTTTATGTGATGATTTGTGATGTGGACTGTGAAGCGCTTTGTGTTGCCCTGTGTATGAAAGGCGCTCTACAAATAAACTTTGATTGATTGATTGATTGATAATCATTTCATTTCATTTATCTCTTTATGTTGGGACAATGCACCTTCATCAACAATGCTGCCTTACAGCCGTCATGTAAATACGCGCGGACTTAGCATAACGGGCAAATTTCAGGCCGTTATCCAGGTTCCAAGAAAACAACAAACACACAAATAATAAAAACCTTGCCCCCCCCAGACCCCCCCCCCCCCGTTTTTAAAACCCCCCCCCCCCCCCCCCCCCCATCCCCCCCCCCCACCCCCCCCCCCCCTCCCCCCCCCCCCCCCCCCCCCCGCCCCCCCCCCCCCCCCCCTCACCCCCCCCCCCCCCCTCCCCCCCCCCCCCCCCCCCCCCCCCCCCCCCCCCCCCCCCCTCCCCCCCCCCCCCCCCCCCCAACCCCCCCCCCCCACCCCCCCCTCCCCCCCCCCCCCCCCCCCCCCCCCGCCCCCCCCCCCCCACCCCCCCCCCCCCCCCCTCCCCCCTCCCCCCCCCCCCCCCCCCCCCCCCCTCCCCCCCGCCCCCCTCCCCCCCCCCCCCCGTCCCCCCCCCTCCCCCCCTCCCCCCGCGCCCCCCCCCCCCCCCCCCCCCCCCCCTCCCCCCACCCCCCCCCCCCCCCCTCCCCCCCCCCCCCCCCCCCCCCCTTCCCCCCCCCCCCCCCCCCCCCTCCCCCCCCCCCCCCCCCCCCCCCCCCCCCCCTCCCCCCCCCCCCCCCCCCCCCCTCCCCCGCCCCCCCCCTCCCCCCCCCCCCCCCTCTCCCCCCCCCCCCCCCCCCCTCCCCCCCCCCCCCCCTCCCCCCCCCCCCCCCCCCTCCCCCCCTCCCCCCCCCCCCCCCCCCTTCCCCCCCCCCCCCTCCCCCTCCCCCCCCCCCCCCCCCCTCCCCCCCCCCCCCCCCCCCCCCCTCCCCCCTCCCCCCCCCCCCCCCCCCCCCCCCCCCCTCCCCCCCCCTCCCCCCCCCCCCCTCCCCCCCCCCCCCCCCCCCCCCTCCCCCCCCTCCCCCCCCCCCCCCCCCCCCCCCCCCCCCCCCCCCCCCCCCCCTCCCCCCCCCCTCCCCTCCGCCCCCCCCCCTCCCCCCCCCCCACCCCCACCCCGCCCCCCCCCCCCCCCCCGCCCCTTCCCCCCCCCCCACCCCCTCCCCCCCCCCCCTCCCCCCCCCCCCCCCCCACCCCCCCCCCCCCCCCGCCCCCCCCCCCCCCCCCCCCTCCCCCCCCCCCCCCCCCCCCCCCCCCCCCCCCCCCCCCCCCCCGCCCCCCCCCCCCCTCCCCCCCCCCCCCCCCCCCCCCCCCCCCCCCCACCCCCCCCCCCCCCCCCCCCACCCCCCCCCCCCCCCCCCCCCCCCCCCCCCCCCCCCCCCCCCCCTCCCCCCCCCCCTCGCCCCCCCCCCCCTCCCCCCCTCCCCCCCCTCCCCCCCCCCACCCCTCCCCCCCCCCCCTCCCCCCCCCCCCCCTCCCCCCCCCATCCCCCCCTCCCCCCCCCCCTCCCCCCCCCCTCCCCCCCCCCCCCCACCCCCCCCCCCCCCCCCCTCCCCACCCCCCTCCCCCCCTCCCCCCCCCCCCCCGTCCCCCCCTCCCCCTCCCCCCCCCTCCCCCCCCCCCTCCCCCCCACTCCCCCCCCCCCCCCATCCCCTCCCCCCCCCCCCCCCCTCCCCCCCCCCCCCCTCCCCCCCTCCCCCGACCCCTTTTCCCCTTCCCCCCCCCCCCCCCCCCCCCCCCTCCCCCCCCCCCCCCCCCCCAACCCTCCCCCCCCCCCCCCCCCCCCCACCCCCCCCCCCCCCCCCCCCCCTCCCTCCCTCACTCCCTCCCCCCCCCTCCCTCACCCCCCCTCCCCCCTCCACCCACTCACCCCTCCCTCCTCCCCCTCAATCACCACCTCCCCCTCCCTCCCTCCTCACTCCACCTCACCTCCTCCCTCCCTCACCTCACTCACCCTCCCTCCCTCACTCACTCACCTCCTCCCTCCCTCACTCACTCACCCCCTCCCCTCCACTCACTCACTCCCCCTCCCTCCCTCCCACCTCACCACCCGCCCCTCCCTCACTCACCCCCTCCCTCACTTCTTCCCACACATTCTTATCTATTGAGGATGTAGGGGGAACATTACAGTACACAGGCACAGGGAGAACATGCAAACTCCATATCGAAAGACCCCACCTTCTTGTGAAAGATATGATTATTATAAATGTGGTGATATATTGTGAATAGAAAACAGGAGACATGTGCCGTGACTTAACAGTTTAATGTAAATCCAAGACAAAGTGTGATTACATTTCTACACATATACAATATGCATATGTGAGCACATTAATAACTCGATTCACCTCCGAGACCGAAAAAATGATCAAAAGTAACAGTGAATAACAAGCTTTAACACAGTTGACAGGACGCGAGCCCCTCCTCACCCACGGTTAGAAAAGACCACAGCTCTATTCTTCTATTGGACGAAGCTGTTAAACCATCTGCTCCATTTACATTGTTATTATTAGTTTTGCCAAGAGCCTAATATAAATTCACTCTATTTTTCTACAACGAAAATGATTACAACATCGCCATGGAAACACAAGCGCAGTCGCAAAAACTCAATTTGTAAAAAGGTTCAACGGATCCTTCTTGAACATTCTATAAAGTTTCTGTAACATACTTTCAAAAGATTAGGCTAAAGAAAAGGTAGACGTTTAACGCTGCTTTAACAAACTGAAATAATGAGATGTCACCGCAAAAGTATAAGAATAACACGAAAACACGTCAATGAGGTTTTACACCCGCCAAGAAACCAAACAGAATCTGAGAATTCAAAACAACACACGCAAAAGAAACCAAAAAGAAGCGAATCAATTGGAATTATAATCGTGTCCCGCTGAAAACGTATTATTTTTCTTATTATTAAACTAGACATATCTTCGTTGTGCATAGCTATATTCCAGATTAGATACAAAATCAAACTTTATTAAAAACGCAATTTTTTGTTTTTTTATTTTCGACTATTTTTTTTATTGAACGCCTCACCGAAAGCCGCCGAGATCAACGGAAGTAAGCTTTGTAAAAAATAAAGACAAACACAAAAACATTTTCTTATGGCTTCAAAGATGCTTTTAACTATAACATTAATATATTTTTGTAGATATTTATTCTTCAACATTTTAGAACTCGTTTCTTCTCACACGCCCGACTTTTCTACGTCTCTCTAAAACATCAAACATGAAGCTTTGGAGGTCTGTGATTTGGAAGGCAGTATTTTTGCCACTAAAGCGAACACTACGCAGAAGCACATTTGGTAAACTCTACTTTAATGCTAAAAACAATCAGATTCCCCTTTTTTCTCTAAGTGACACAAAACACAGGTCATGTGACGGACTGGGGTCTCGTAGACATCGAGTTATAAGATAATTATGGTAAAATGGCAGAAAATTCAACCCTTTCAAGACAGTAATGATATTTATATTTGTCACTGCAAAAAGTGATGAGAAAAAAATCTAAAAAATTGCTCAAAATTGGTAAAATGTATCTCATTAAAGGATTCGCACAAAAGTTAAGAAAAAACCGCACCTCTCCAACTTTTGACAAACTCTCTGTCTTATTGACGGGCACGTATCAGCAAATGATTGACAGATGGCAGGACCAATAGTCTCGATGATCCACCCGGGGGCAGACAATCCTCCTCTAAACCTTTAATGGGACAAAATGATCTTCCTCAACTTTTTAAAGGCTTCAAAGGCCTTTGTCTCATTAGAAAATGTGGTTTTAAGACAGTCCAAATGTGCTCAAGTAAAGATAAAACTAGATTGAAGCAATTATTACCTTAGAGTTTATAATTATTTTGCAGTGTTTTTTGCGTCATGCACGATTTCAGATAAAAGCAGTAAATCCATTTTTGATGTGACCATTGAATATTAAAGGTTCAGATTTGTTTTCATGTTAGTTCATCTGTAGCACACTAACGCAAAAAAGATAAAAAGTCATTTTTGTACAATAGCAGTAACATCAGCAAAGTATTATATTTACGTGGCAAATACAAATAGATTAAATTATGACATAATTAAAATACAAATGGGGTAAAAACTGAACGTAAAAAACACACGTTTTTTGATTTTTGAATTTAACAGTGAAACAGAAAGATGGTCCAAAAACACTGTGTTGAGTTATTGCCTGATTGTGACTTTTAGAGGTTACTGCACCGTGCTCCTGCTGCTGGAGAAGAATATATATATATACTATATTATATATATATACTATATTTATATATATATATTATACGTTATATATATATATATATATATTATTAAATATAAGAGCGTGGTATGAGGTGACACCGAACACGTGGAATGTCAGTAGTTCTGTCTCGTCAAACAGAAGAAGTGGAAAAGTGTCCCTTACGCCTGCGCCACAAACAAAACTGAGAAAAAAGTGAACGCTTGAATCAGGTTCTTTTGTCTTGATCTGAGAACTGTTTCAACTGTTCTGAACTGACATTTTCCACCAGAACAAGCCATACATCTCTGTTATGAAATCAAAAATAGAGAAATAACAAAGAAATCACTCATTTAAAGCTGGGGTTTGTAACTTTTACAAAAGTTAAACTTCGTAATAAAATCCACTGTGTTTTTGGCCTCGTTAGATCTGCTTTTTAGGCAGAAATAGGAAAACTCATGTCTCAGCCAATCAGCTCTCAGTTCCACTACGGGCTCTTTAGAGTCATATTTAGTAGTGTTCAAGAAAAAAAAGTTAAGGATCCCAGCTTTAAATGTGGAATAATATATCACTGTGATTGAAAGTAGACTAACCCTAATGTCAACAACATCTAGACAAAACAAGATTTAAAAAATACCTAATTCAAGCTTTAATTAACTTACAATCTCATTGTTTTGCAGTGTGTGTGTTCAGTTCGACGGCGACAAATGTAACCAGCGAAGAACCACATCTTTCTGTTTCAAAAACCTCTCTCTACAGACCCCCCGCTGAGTTCACTCCAACCGCACTACGTCTGTGCACTTCTGGTTCCACACAACACAACAAATCACTGTACCACAATCCGGCTACACAACAGAAATTACATATCATGGAATAGGACGCACACCAGAATTATTGCAACAATCTCTAAAATAAAACACAACATGTACTACAGCCATGTCCAACAGAATCCAAGGTCATAATATTAAGTTATAAATGAAGTAATAACATGAATAAGGGTGTAATAAGGAGAAATCACCAGCAGTTGTGTGTGTGTCGTTAGCTACACGGGAACACAAAAGCAGCACACAAAGCCCTGTTCTAAGGATTCAGGTATGGTCAGGAGGGCGTGGCCGTGTCAGAAGACAAATGGACAATAATGTGGAAACTCCAAATGCTCTGCCAGGTGAAAGCGGAAAACTCCTTTCTGTTCGGAATCATTCAACAATATGTGTGTGAGAAGTGTGTGAGAAGTGTGCGTTCACAGCTGGGCTCGAATGTTTAGACACCCAGGCACAAAATGACTGTATTTTTGAGGTTTTGAAATAAAAATGCACCTTTTTTCCACTTATTGTCAGCGACTGAAGCCATGAGTTTAAAATACATTCTACTTTAAAGCTTTTCTCCAAGAATATTTTTGTTCATTCAGCCATTGTCAAATAATGACTTCTTTTATAATTATTTTATTATCTAGCATCTATAACCTGCTCTAATGTTTCCCTTTGTATTCTGCTGTAATGTTTGCAACAATTACATTGAAATTCCTCCACTGAGGGACGAGTAAAGGTTTGTCTTATTTTAATATTTTTAAACTCTAAAGAATTCAAAAGAAATTTCCACGATTATACATTTCTATCCCCCAGTTCTGCCTTAGCTTTTATAACAGCTCGGAGTCTTTCATGTTGGTGACAGAGGTTCTTTCTGAAGGTAAAGCTGGCAAAAGGACTCCAGTTCCTGTAAATTCCTGGGCCACCTTGCATGATGAACTTTGATTTTGTATTAGATTATAAACGGCTTCACAAAACCACAAACAAAACAAGAGTATTTTGTTCATTCTTTTCATTCGAAATCCCCAAATAAGGCCAAAACATGGACGTCTCTGCCGGGGTGTCTACACTTTCAAGCCCGACTGTAAGAAGTGTGCGTGTAGGTCTAGGTAGGAGATGCTACCAACCTCTTTGTATCGATCAACCTGCTCAGTGCCAACTTGCTCCCATTTTAGTCGCCATTTCAGACAGAGAAAGCCCCGTCCCTTCCTAACGGACTCCCTCGCACAGCGCCTACGCCGTCCCTTCCTAACGGACTCCCTCGCACAGCGCCTACGCCGTCCCTTCCTAACGGACTCCCTCGCACAGCGCCTACGCCGTCCCTTCCTAACGGACTCCCTCGCACAGCGCCTACGCCGTCCTTTCCTAACGGACTCCCTCGCACAGCGCCTACGCCGTCCCTTCCTAACGAACTCCCTCGCACAGCGCCTACGCCGTCCCTTCCTAACGGACTCCCTCGCACAGCGCCTACGCCGTCCCTTCCTAACGGACTCCCTCGCACAGCGCCTACGCCGTCCCTTCCTAACGGACTCCCTCGCACAGCGCCTCTGCCGTCCCTTCCTAACGGACTCCCTCGCACAGCGCCTCTGCCGTCCCTTCCTAACGGACTCCCTCGCACAGCGCCTACGCCGTCCCTTCCTAACGGACTCCCTCGCACAGCGCCTACGCCGTCCCTTCCTAACGGACTCCCTCGCACAGCGCCTACGCCGTCCCTTCCTAACGGACTCCCTCGCACAGCGCCTACAGCGTCCCTTCCTAACGGACTCCCTCGAACAGCGCCTACAGCGTCCCTTCCTAACGGACTCCCTCGAACAGCGCCTACGCCGTCCCTTCCTAACGGACTCCCTCGTACAGCGCCTACGCCGTCCCTTCCTAACGGACTCCCTCGCGTAGCGCCTACGCCGTCCCTTCCTAACGGACTCCCTCGCACAGCGCCTACGCCGTCCCTTCCTAACGGACTCCCTCGCACAGCGCCTACGCCGTATCCTTCTCTCAGCCCTCTGCACCTCAGCCTCATTTTGATTCTTGTGTTTGTGTTGCAGTTTGGCTATAGCTCACAGCTACGCCACTTCCTGTCCTTCTTCGTGGACTAGCAAGCTCGTTGTAACCCTACACCAGGGGTCTCCAACCTTTTTCAACCGGAGAGCTACTTTTATCCAACAAAAGAGGCAGAGAGCTTCTCCTTTCTGCCTCGTGATAAAAACATGGATGTAATAATCAGGACAAAACACAAGAGAGAGAGGACACATGAATACACCATAATACTGTATATTTATAATAGAAAGGTAATGACTACAAATGTATTCATTCAAAATCATTAGCTAAATTCCTTTGGGGAGCTACCTGGCGAGCTAGTGGTAGCTCCCGAGCCACAGGTTGGAGACCCCTGCCCTACACAATCTCTACAGTGTCTCGAAAATTTTTTGCTGCAAGTGTTATTTCCGCTCACAGTTCTTTACTTTTTAGTATATTTTTGTGTGAATAAAAGCCTCACAAATTGAAGAGCTCCATCTACAGTGTTCGTATAAATGTTTACATCGAGTTCATCTATGACTTTGGTTAAGAACGCCACGCACACTTTAGACTTTTAGTTTGTCTTGAAGGAGGAACAGAAAAAGGTTTGGAGCCTACACCTGGAACAGAGAGCTACAAATGCCTCCAGAAGAATGTGGAACCAAGGAAAGACGTCTCACTAAGGATAGCTACGGCCTTTAGCGGCGGTCACCACTCAAAGACCAGTAAACTGTGGTAATATCTGTAATATCTGTAAGGCACTACGAGGAAACAATGGTCCAAACCTAACTTATAGGAGTTCCATAGAGGAGGTCGGATACACACGATGGCTGACAGTAACACACAGACAATCACATTTTGTACATGCCTATGTTATTAGAACCACTTTGTGCAATCACATTGAAAAGTCAGGGACAAATAAGTTTCAGGATAAAAGAAACTCTCCGACATGTGCAGACTGCTACATTCTAAAAATGGGGCCCAGCTAAGACACCTAGGACTAAAACTGAATAATTATAAAGGTGGAACATAATGGTATAATATGTATAAATACACTACAAAGTTTCTTGTCTTGGTTGGTTATATATTCCCAGAAGCCTCCTCAGCTTGAGAAGGCGGCACGGGGGAAGCCTCTCGTCTGTCTTTTCTTCCCCACGCCGTATTTGATTTGGAAATATTAAGACAGTTCAAGGCCATTGATATTTTTTCTTTGTAGAGCAGCAGGTTTTCCGTATTTCACCGATTTTGTCCCGATTCTGGATTGGGATCCCAAGCTTCCAGTAAGTAACCCCTGTTCAAAAGTCATTTCCCGAACTCAAGAGGGGGGAAATAATAAAAGATGAACAAACCAGAAAAGCTCCACTGTCCCCACCAAAAAGGCCCGTTTCAGATTTCCCTGTAAAAAAATTCTCATAAAGCAAAACAAAATCACTGGCCCTTTCTGAAAACAAAACAAGAGTCCCCCGCTTTCATTCGTCTCCGTCGTTTCCTTCAAACGAGGCTGAGAATCTTTATGCCGGTTTCTCTTTGTGGATTTCTCTTCAAGTCCCGGTGCAGTCTCCAGGGTCAGGGTTCCTCTGTGTGTTACTGCGGGAGGAGGACGTGTCCGGGCAGAGCAGCAGCACTCGGTCCAGGGTCCAGGGTTAGGGTTCCTCTGGGATGAGGATGTGTCCGGGCAGAGCAGCAGCACTCGGTCCAGGGTCCAGGGTTAGGGTTCCTCTGGGATGAGTACTCGGTCCAGGGTTCCAGTGTCACTCAGAGGCTGTGCTCCTCGTCGCTGAGGCCACGTGGACTGCGCTGGAGCGACCAAGGCGTTATTTACACCGAGCAGGAGCCTCCCTCACCACTGACACTTTGATATTCCTAATGCACACACGTTGATTTTACACAAAGAGGAAAAGGTTTGAGGACTCTCGTTTTGATATTCCCAAAATAATAAAGGACAGAGTGTCTCGGACCTTTTCCTATTTGTTTTCCGCGGATCCTCGGAGAACACCGAACTCTTTGCGTCTAGCCTACATTTCTCTGATCCCTGTATGCACTCACTCCTCTTTACTCTGTGAGTAATGCAGTCCCTTTTGACCAAGTTTTGAATTAGCCTGGATTCTGCTGCAAACTATTTTGGTGATAAAATGTATTAATTCAATTTCAAGGAGAACAACAGCAATATTTCCTTTGTTATTTGGAATATGTGGATTATCAAAATCACTGGTATTTCATGTCCACAATCCTAGAAATATGACCTTATCATCAGAAAATAGTAGTATAGATAGAAGTTCCTGGTTCCCTGCAAAGTTCTGTTAACGCTACAATTCCCAGAGCGGTCAATATGACGGCTTCTCGTTTTGTAAGTGTAATGACCCCGCTTACGCACGTTTTTGGTCTTCCTGACTTGTTTCTGTTTCTATATGTCGTTTATATCTATGTCATTATGTTGATGACATGATCTCGATCCTAGACTGGTGCTGGACTGGTTCAGAACAGTCCCACAACATTGCTCTAATTCAACGTTTGACCGCTTCCCTGTTGCTTGGTGGAAATAACATCATGGATAAACACACAGCCTGCAGCCAGAGCGCCCCCTGGAGCACAGGTGAGGGGGTGGTCTCTAGAGGTACGGGTACTGGTTGACCTTAGTGGGACTCAGCGGGTATCCAGTGTAGACAGTGGAGGCGGGGGAGGCGCTGATGTAAGCCTGATGTGCAAACTGGGCCTGGTACTGGCCGTGGTGAAGCGTGGGCGAGGGCAGGACACGGTGGCTCATGGACACGGGCACCTGGTGGACGAGGCCCGCCGGGTAGGGGCCGTGTTGGTGGACTGCGTGCCGCCCGGAGCCCTGGGACGCCACCAGATGGGCTACGGTCCCGGTGGAGCCCAGACCGGTGGGGCCCGCGTAGGTGTAGAGGTGCGGCTGGCTGGAGAGGTGCGTGGCGGCCAGATGCGGGTGCACGTTAGCCGCATGGGAGGGGCTGTTGTGGTGGAAGGAGTAGGGCGGCTGCGGCGCGATGGTCGGGGTGATGTAGGCCTGCTGTCGACGGTGGTTACGCTCGGCGACCATGTGCTGCTGCGCCTGCGGAGGAGAGAGGGACGTTTGTGACGACAGTAAAGTGTTCTCCTTATTCAACAATACTCTCTTTTTTGATTTTTCATTTATCTTCATTTGGTAAAAATCCAACAACGTACTGAAAAATGTTGAGATAAGTTCTTCATTGGTCTCACAGTGGTCACATTACACATTACAGCAGAATAAAAAAGTATGAAATAAGAGCACACATCAAACAGCATCTATTCTTTAAAAATAAAATAATGAGTAATAAGGTGATAAAAGAGAATAAAATAAAACTCTGGAGCTATAATTGCACTTGTGGAGGACACTGCAGTCAGCAGGAGGTATTTACAGATGTCTATATTGTACTTAAGCAGCAGAGAATACGACCAGAGTAAATAAAGTGACAGCGGCGCATTGACTCAGCAGTACTCGTCGTACAGTCTGACGCTAATGTGAATGGGTGAGTGCTTAGTGCCTGATTATGTTGATGTTACGTGAGGCTTTCTCCTGAGGTTAAACCATAGACTGTAATATTAAAACATTATGTGCCCTAATAATCATACATAGTTGGGAAAGACAAGCACTTTAATGCATTTAAATGGCTTCTTTTATTATTCATTTATTCAGATTACGAGTGAGGCAGATGATCATATCTCACAGCTCGCAATTACTCAACGTAAAATATTGTAGCGCTAACAACAAGCTGACTATTTAACATATTAATACGATCCTGTTATTCTCTATCTATAACAAGTCTCAAGTAGAGTTGAGTTCATAATGAAACATAGAAAAGTGTGAGGTTTTATTGATAACATGTGGTTAGATCCCATTGCTTCAGTTCAAATGCTGTTATGTCAGACACACTGATACAACATTTGTGGAGCGGTCACAGAGAACACGTTTTATTTATGAGTAAAAGATGCAAACATCCAAAATATGGACAAGGTCTGGGTAGTGCTGTGATGGGAGACCTACAGTACAGAGCAAAAGTGTGGACACCCTCTCTCCTTCACTGAGTTCTTTTCATGACTATTGCTGTAGACCCGCACCAGGCTGTGTAAGGGCTGTTTGACCAATAAGGAGAGAGACCGGACCTGAACCCAGTCCAGATGGTTTTGGACCTGAACTCAGTCCAGATGGTTTTGGACCTGAACCCAGTCCAGATGGTTTTGGACCTGAACCCAGTCCAGATGGTTTTGGACCTGAACTCAGTCCAGATGGTTTTGGACCTGAACCCAGTCCAGATGGTTTTGGACCTGAACCCAGTCCAGATGGTTTTGGACCTGAACCCAGTCCAGATGGTTTTGGACCTGAACCCAGTCCAGATGGTTTTGGACCTGAACCCAGTCCAGATGGTTTTGGGGCTGGACCACAGAGTGAAAGGGCCAACAAGTGCAAAGCATCATGGGAACTCCTTCCAGACTGTTGAAGACCATTTCAGGTCCTGTTGAAGCTCATCCAGAGAATGCCAAGAGTGAAGCAGTATCAGAGCAAAAGGAGCTACTTTGTAGAACCAGAATATAACACATATTTACACTTGGTTCATACTTTTTTACTATGGACATAATTCTTATGAGTTCATCATAGGTTTGATGCCCTCAGTGTCAATCTACCATTTTAATAATCATGAAAATAAAAAACTCTTTGAATGAGAAGGTGTGTCCAAACTTTTGGTCTGTGCTGTAAATACATATAGACCTTTGACTGATCTGAAATCACCAAGAAAGAGTCCAGGATCAAAAAAGAGGAGAAGTCTCTGTTCAGTGCCTTGCTCAGTGGGTCCCGGCTCAAAAGGGTCCATGAGCATGTGCCCTGACATGCTTGCAATAGGCTCTTTGCCGGTGGGGGTGTACCCGGAAACAGAATTATCCAGTGCATTGTAAGCTGACGACCAATGTGAATGACACACACGGTTGGTTTGATTCTTTCTGAAGTGGGTAGCATACACTAATGCAAAGAGACCCAATTTGATACTAAAAATAAAATAAATTAGTCATACGTTTTTTTTTAATCACTCCTTGTTCTCTGGATGTTTTTTGTCTATGAAACGCTTAGAATAATAATAAAAAAAAGAACAAGGTAAAGTTTTGGTGATACCAGTCCAAAGTCAACGTGGTGATATCAGATGTGCATAAAGCAATATCATTTAAAAGCAATTTTAGATCCTGCAGCAGAAAGATACACACAGGTCACCCCCGGTCAGCCCCGGTCACCCCTGGTCAGCCCTGGTCAGCCCTGGTCAGCCCTGGTCACCCCTGGTCACCCCTGGTCAGCCCTGGTCAGCTCTGGTCAGCCCTGGTCAGCCCTGGTCAGCTCTGGTCAGCCCTGGTTAGCCCTGGTCAGCCCTGGTCAGCCCTGGTCAGCCCTAGTCAGCTCTGGTCAGCCCTGGTTAGCCCTGGTCAGCTCTGGTCAGCCCTAGTCACCCCTGGACAGCCCTGGTCAGCCCTGGTCACCCCTGGTCACCCCTGGTCAGCCCTGGTCAGCCCTGGTCAGCTCTGGTCAGCCCTGGTTAGCCCTGGTCAGCCCTGGTCAGCCCTGGTCAGCCCTGGTCAGCCCTAGTCAGCTCTGGTCAGCCCTGGTTAGCCCTGGTCAGCTCTGGTCAGCCCTAGTCACCCCTGGACAGCCCTGGACAGCCCTGGTCAGCCCTGGTCACCCCTGGTCAGCCCTGGTCAGCCTTGGACAGCCCTGGTCAGCCCTGGTCAGCCCTGGTCAGCCCTGGTCAGCCCTGGTCAGCCCTGGACAGCCCTGGACAGCCCTGGTCCTCCCTGGTCAGCCCTGGTCAGCCCTGGACGCTGCACGGATCACAGACACACACAAAGTAGTACCTGGCTGAGATTGAGGGGCTGCTGCTGGAGTGGGTGGGGCCCTGTGCGCTGCTGACGATAGGCTCCGGCTCCAGGGACCCCCTGTATGTGATGACTCGACAAAACCCCATTGGATGATTTAAACTTGTAGGATGAATTCTGGTGGTTCATGGGTTCTGTGAAGGAAGACAAAGCACAGTTTGATAATTAGCATATGCCCCGTGCAACAAAGATGGCAGATTATTGGATTCATAGATCATATTGGCCCCACAGCCTTTAACCAATCATTCTTCTTTCCAGACCAGAAGTCAAAACAAAATATCTGCTTATAGATCATTTGTGAAAGGGAAGTCTGAGTGTTTCTGAGCCCACAAAGTTAAAAGTGTTCCCAAAGGCTTGAACAATGCAGTTATGGTATAAAGTACATTTGTATTTATTAATGAAAAAAGAGTGGATTGAAAATGTAACCAACTTCTTGTTTAAGTAACTTCTTCACTTTTCTGCAGTCAATTCAGTGTGAGTAAGATCATGACGTTTGAAAGCAAAATTTGAGGGATAGTCAAAAATACTCTTCTGGCCACCCTGGAAAAGCCATGTTCCAGCTTCTTCCCTCTGGCTCTCGTTACGCTAACAGTTTTTATCCACAAGCTGTTATCAGTGTGAACAGAGCACTTTAATGATTTGCACTTGTTTTGAAACTGTTTTAGTCGATCCATTTCACAGTGACATTTGTTTACTGTTTTATTTGTCTTATTTTTATCTTTTAATGTTGTTTTATGTTTGTATTTGTCTGTGCACACTGGAGACTTTTGCTAATGTATTCCAATGTGGTGTTTTTACTGCAAATGGCAAATAAACTGAATCTGAAAAGGTCATCCCAAAAATCCTGAAAAGTATCAAGATAAAGATTTTTTTTCTCAATAACGTTGCACTTACTCAACAGATTTTCTGAAATATTGTTTGTTTTGGCTTCATTATTCCATGCGATGTAGAACCACTGTCTTTATGCTAAAGTTAGAGATTTTATACTAGCTTCTTCAGTCTGAGTCTTAATGTTAATACCTGGCATGAGGCGCTCGCTGATGGGAGCCTCGCTGGTCTGTGACTTGAGGGGTGGGATGATGATGGTGCGGGGGTTTCCGTTGTGGTAGTTGTCCAGGATGGTGGTCTTGGTGTCGTACGAGTGGTTGTTGTGGTGGTTGTTATTGTTGTTGGCGGCGGCGGTTCTGGAGTCCACCGCGTAAGGGCTGTTGTGGCTTGAACAGTCAGACTCCGGGGAATCGTGCACTGTCACGCAGCTAATGACATTCTTTCTATGCTTTGAAGATGAGCTGCAAGATAGAAACACAATACAAGGCAAGTCGATTAATATCAAACAGTTCACTGCAAAAAGTGATGAAAAATAAGTAAAAAGTAATTTGAGCACATTTTCACTGTCTTAAAACAGGATTGGCCAAAAATACAAGAAATGTGTCCCTTTGAGTATTTATACAGTCTATGGAAGCAACAAATTGAAATCTTCATGAACAAACCGTGAGCCGCATTAGCAACATTTTAAAAGAAGGTTTAATTTGTCCACATAAAGGCCGCACCTGAATATAAGCTGCAGATTTCCATGTTGTAATGTAGTGGATAGACGACGGTTTTAACTGGTCACAACAGCATTTAAAGAATATTAGAAGACTCATACTCCTTCATCTGTTTTGACAACAAACCAATGTCCTACAGCTGCTAAAACTTGATAGAGTCAAACAATAAGTCCATAAACTCTACCACATTAAAAAAAATACACATATTAGCCGCACTGCGATATAAGCCGCATGGTTCAAAGACGTCTGTAGATGAGGGTACCTATTGTTTTGCTTGTGTTCGTCTTCCTCGTCCGTGTCGCTGCTGATGGTGATGATGCTGACGGCCGGGCTGGGTGTGTCTGGGATGATGATGGTCTGTCGGGGGGCATGGTGCTGGTGGTCGCGGGTGGTGGAGGAGGCCTGCTCTGGGTCCGTCTGCCCCCAGCCTCCTCCACAGCCCTGGGACACGGGGCAGTTCTGCAGCACGGCACATCGCGGAGGGGTGTTCTCTTTCACCCTCTTGGAGCGCTGAGGGGAGAGGACGGCCTGCGAGGACGACACTTCGTACGACGACATGTTCCTTCAGAGAAAATGGAGAGGAAATAGATTAGATTGTTTTGTTTTATTTTTAAAACATTATTCATTTTGATGCAGAATTGGACCAAACAGAGACGTGGAAACACTACTGCAGTCATGTCTATGTTTATTCTTTTATTTATAGATGTATTCATTCATGCAGATCTGTAGCACTGTATCCCACAGACGACTTCAAAAGGTTTATCCTATCGTAAGTTCAGTTCCAGACTGAATCCGTCAGGTTTATGAGTAAAAATGTTCTGGATATTTTCTACACAAAGGAATTGATTTAATATTTAAAAACATTGTTATGGGAATTGTTGTGGTTATACTACCGGAAAAACTTGAATGTCTAGCAATGTGTGTGCGTGTGCGTGTGCGTGTGTGTGTGTGTGTGTGTGTGTGTGTGTGTGTGTGTGTGTGTGTGCGTGCGTGCGTGTGTGTGTGCGTGTGTGTGCGCGTGCGTGTGTGCGCGTGTGTGTGTGTGTGTGTGTGTGTGTGCGTGTGTGTGTGTGTGCATGTGTGTGCGTTTGACTGTTTGGGACTTTTTCAGAATCCGAATTTTTTTCTACTGCCATTGTAAGTAACAGCAAATCACAAACTAGGAATTTTCTTTGGCATATGGTGCAGAAGAGTTATAAAAAAGTAAAAAAAAAAGAATTGCTATAAAGGCATGAATTAAAACAAATCTCAGTAAAAGTAAATTGTGATTCAAGACAAATTTACATGTTTATTCTAACAAATGATCCAATCATTTGTTTAAGTTGAAGCTCTGTCTGAACAATGTAAAAGAGAAATAAAAGAAAAGCCTAAACTACAGAAACATCCTTTAACCAACGCTTTACCTGTAAATGTTTAAAACTATGACCTTGATTCTTCATGTTCATTAAATGTGTGATTAAATTCTGTCAAAAGTGGTTCCATATTTGCTTTGTTGGTAGCAGCGTGTGACAGGCCGTGACAGACCGTGACAGGCCGTGACGTCAGTGAACCAGGACACAAACATCAAACCGTATCTACCTGCTCGACATCTGGTGCTGCTTGTTCTTTTTGGAGGAGTTGGTGGTGGGCTGCCTCATAACGTGAGCCACCCCCACATTAAGCGTCTGGTTGGATGGGAGCGTGACGTGACCAGTCAACAAGGCCGGCTGCTGCATGATGGGATTGTAATGGCTGCCGTGGGGATGGGGGTTCCTGTAAAACATTAGACATTTAGAACATGACTTTGATTCCAATGAAATATATTTGTACGTATATATTCTTATGAAGCTTAAACCAAGATCTTAAAATAATCTTGGTTTAGGTTGATATCCGTTACCTCAAAAAGCGGACTGTGGAGATGATCCAGGACACTTTAAGTTTCTACAACATTTACAGACATTTAACATTCATGGACATTGGTCAACTCCCCCAATGAACCAACACCATGTGTTCTATATTATTTAGATTTTCTGATCTGTGCTGACAATTTCAACGGTTTTGTTAAGTCATCTGAGATAACAGCTGCTGTGATTTAGGACAATACAAGAGTAAATATCAGTTATGGATGTGGACGCACAAGTTTAGCCGTCTTCTGTCTTTTTAACTTGTATGTTCTGTCTCTTTTGTGTCTACCGTGAGTCTGTGATAAAGACTTAATTTATTCATTCATTTAATCAATCATTCTCTTCTGGCCCCTGGAAAAGGCCATGTTTTAGCGTCTTCCTTCAGGCAGAACATCCCGTTTTGCTAACAGCGTCTTTCCACAAGCTGTGATCAGTCTGAACAAAGCTCTTTATGATTTTGCACTTGTTCAAACTGTTTTTGTTTATGGTTTCATAGTGACACTTTTTAGCTTGTTTTATTCCTGTACTTTTAGCTTGTTTTATTTATGTACTTTTAGCTTGTTTTATTTATGTACTTGTCTTGTGCACACTGGGGACCTTTGCACCTGTATTCCAATGTGCTTTTACTGCAAATGACAAATAACATCATCTAACATGAAAATGACATAGATGAGAGATTAACCGAGACAGACACATGGATTCCACACTATTCAGTCTGTTCATGGCCTTATGGGAATACAGCACAAAGCATATAAAAACTCTGTCTGCAGTGTGTTTAAAAAGACATTTTCCAGCAGGTGGCAGCAGCAGCTTCCAAACAGTCACAGCAGGAGAACAGATGAGAGCAGAGAGGGAGGGCAGAGGAGCTCCAGCATCTGGAGAGATTGCTCTGCAGAGGAAGTGCGACACCTTCACTATTGTCACCCAGGACTATGGACAGAACGCAGAGAGGCAGAGACAGAGACAGAGACAGAGACACAGAGAGGCAGAGACAGAGACAGAGACAGAAACACAGAGATGCAGAGACAGAGACAGAGACAGAGACAGAGATACAGAGACACAGAGACACAGAGATGCAGAGACAGAGACAGAGAGACAGAGACAGAGGCAGAGACACAGAGACAGAGACAGAGACAGAGACACAGAGATGCAGAGGCAGAGACACAGAGACAGAGAGACAGAGACACAGACACAGAGACAGAGACAGAGACAGAGGCAGAGACACAGAGACAGAGACAGAGGCAGAGACAGAGACAGAGACACAGAGATGCAGAGACAGAGACAGAGACACAGAGACAGAGAGATGCAGAGACAGAGAGGCAGAGACAGAGACAGAGGCAGAGACAGAGACAGAGGCAGAGGCAGAGACACAGAGACAGAGACAGAGGCAGAGACAGAGACAGAGACACAGAGATGCAGAGACAGAGACAGAGACACAGAGACAGAGAGATGCAGAGACAGAGACAGAGGCAGAGACAGAGACAGAGGCAGAGACAGAGACAGAGGCAGAGGCAGAGACACAGAGACAGAGACAGAGACAGAGACAGAGAGAGGCAGAGACAGAGACAGAGGCAGAGACAGAGACAGAGAGACAGAGAGACAGAGACAGAGACAGAGAGACAGAGACAGAGACAGAGACAGAGACAGAGAGACAGAGGCAGAGACAGAGAGGCAGAGACAGAGACAGAGGCAGAGACAGAGACAGAGAGACAGAGAGACAGAGACAGAGACAGAGGCAGAGACAGAGAGGCAGAGACAGAGACAGAGGCAGAGACAGAGACAGAGAGACAGAGAGACAGAGACAGAGACAGAGAGACAGAGACAGAGACAGAGAGAGGCAGAGACACTAAAACCAAGGGGACTGGGGTGAGCCTGAGTACCAGTTGCAGACCTCTGGGTGAATTTGAGCCTTCCGTGGCCTGGCTATTACCTTCCTCTGTCTCTGCCTCTCTGTCTCTGTGTCTCTGCATCTCCTTTATCTCCTCACAGAATTGCCTCGTCCCATCCATCTTTCCATGTATTGAGTCATCATGGTGACAGTCTCTACTTGTATGACGTGGCTACATACACGCCGTCTCTCCCTGAGGAGGATCCACTCTTATGAAAGCACTGTTGTGTTCATTTGGGGCCAGTGATTCAAAAAGCACTCAGCCTCTGTGGACAATGTGTATTTACACTTCAGGCACTGGGAATGGAATAGCATTTTCTATACATAACCAAAAAACATGTTCAGAGTTGGCTATTCTATCATGCTTCACAACCAAGTGCCTATTATGCTGTTGTTATGCTCTTCTTCTATGCAGGAAATTCAGAAAAACATAGGGCAACTCGAGGCCAAACAAGCAGCCTACAGTGAATAGACACACAGTCAGGGAGCCATCTTGGTTAATGGCATTATTATTTTATTCAGTTCGATTCTATTCTATTCTTCAGAGCACCACAGATTTCAAGTAGTAATGTTTATTTATATAGCACATTTTACAGACCAAGATCAAAGCACTTTCCAATGTTCAGAGTCAGATATTGTTCCTTCCACACACGGTGATGACAGAAGCGAGTCCAGAACACACTGGACCATCAAAGCCTCTGACCCAACACCATCATTCACTCTCTCATTTACATTCAGACCTATTGTACATGTTTTTAGTGGTGGGGGAAACCGGAGCACCCGGAGGAAACCTACGCAGACACGGGGAGAACATGCAAACTCCACTCAGAAAGGCCTGACCAGGATTTGAACCCAGGACCTTCTTGCTGAGAAGCGAGAGTGCTAACCACTCAGCCACTGTGCCGCACATAAATGATAAATTATAATAGTATGGATATCTTTCCTCTGCACTCAGTCCTTGATCTAGAGCCTACGGTCCTGGATCTATCCTGTCGCTCTTAACGTGGGCCGTGTCCAGACTTCTGCCACTGTTTTTGTTGTAGATGTTGTTCCATAGTCTCTTCTGCTGATTCAGAAGGGACTATGGACAGTAATGACCCACTCTCTATGAACCAATGTCTCCTACTATGTGTTTGTTATTGCTTCGTCCTCTGATCGACGAGACGACTGCTGTTGTAATTTAGGGCTATACAAAAATATATTGTATCCAAAAGAATTTAATTATTTTATTTTTGTATTTAACCTTTTTTTAAGCAGGAAAGTCCCATTGGAATTAAGAACCACTTTTCAAGGGAGTCCTGGACTTATAGATGGGGTCTGATGTTGCAAAAACAAAATACCAGTTTTATTGACCAACAATTACACATTTGGGGAGTTAAGGCGATGAGGAGTGTTTCTGTCCCACTCAAACTTTTTTAGATAATACAACTTCATCAATAGCATCAATTAAAAGTCCATCCTTCCTACTCTAATTCTTAGCAGTCTCTGCCCCATCTGTACCTGCCATGCCACGTGCTCACAACAAAAAGATTGATTCATTTGATCCGTGCACACAGAGAGCTCCATGGTCCAGGGACAAACTCAAACTTGAATCTTCCCACATGTGTTTTTTATCATTACTTTTCTTGTGTTTGAACCGTTTGATTCTCTGAGTTTAGTAAAGTTCTCCGAGATAACTACTGTTGAGATTTAGGGCTAGTCTACAGTAATAGTGAGACTCGTGTTTACCTCCAGTTGGCGAGAGGCTGCCCGTTGCCCATGGACTCTGGGATGACCGTGGCGTGCTGGACTGAGGTGTGGGTGAGCTGCTGCCACGCTGGAGGGAGGAGGATTTGTTGCGTACCACTGGGCCAGGCCTGCTGTCAGAAAAAAATAGAAGAATAAGAAAATGTAATTAGCTTGTGTTGTGAAGCAGTACACACACTTCCTCAGCCCATTTGTTATTAATGTATGATGAGAGCAAGCTACAGTGGACCGCTTTTGGCGGTTTGGACGCCCGCATTAATGTTAAGTTTATAGAGATTTGACCTTGATATTGTATTGAGTCTATTTCTGTTATTATTTCATGTTTTATGATGTGTGTTTGCATTGACTATTCTTTAACAAGGCCCAGGAGAGGAGAGCCAACTGTACATGTTTTTAGTGCTAGGCAAAACCAGAGTACCAGGAGGAAACCGGAGCAGACATAGAGAGAACATGCAAACCCCAGATTCTGCACAGGAGTCAAATCCAGGAAGTGACTCAATGGTAAGTCAATTAGTCAATGATAATGAGTCAAACATGTGTAATGGAAAGGCTGAATCTCAGTAATGAAACACATTCCATTCAACATCAAAGAGAGTTTCACTGAAGGTGATACTTTCATTTTAATTGGGATAAAAAAACAGGTTTGAGATGAGAGCATTTCTGATTATGTTATATGTGTGGATGGATCTAAATATACAACCCCAAGTCTTTTTTTATGAAGGAAAAATGTCAAAACATGGCTAAAAACACAAAAATGTTGATTCTGTGTCTCACTTTAAGGCAGGTTTAAACAGTTCACACACAAGGAAACTTAAATTGCTTAACAAATAAGATAGAAACCCCGCTCCCATCTCTGAGTGAGAGACTAATGCCCAAAAATAACAATTGTAAACCACTTTGTGACTCTGGTCTGAGAAAGGCGGTATATAAATAAACATTACTTACTTACAATCACACAAGGCATTAACATCATAAATAATCACAGTTTATTAAAAATAGTGACGATTCAATCCTTCAGTTATTTTCAACCTGGATTTTATAATGTACCATTAGAAGCTTCTCACATTTTCAGGAAGACTTTTCCAGATTTTAGCAACATGAATCTGAAATGCTGCCTCCCCATGTTTAGTAAGCCAGTCCCTGTGCTCCTCAGAGTCCCAGCAGGAGGCCAGTCCCTGTGCTCCTCAGAGTCCCAGCAGGAGGCCAGTCCCTGTGCTCCTCAGAGTCCCAGCAGGAGGCCAGTCCCTGTGCTCCTCAGAGTCCGAGCAGGAGGCCAGTCCCTGTGCTCCTCAGAGTCCCAGCAGGAGGCCAGTCCCTGTGCTCCTCAGAGTCCCAGCAGGAGGCCAGTCCCTGTGCTCCTCAGAGTCCCAGCAGGAGGCCAGTCCCTGTGCTCCTCAGAGTCCCAGCAGGAGGCCAGTCCCTGTGCTCCTCAGAGTCCCATCAGGAGGCCAGTCCCTGTGCTCCTCAGAGTCCCAGCAGGAGGCCAGTCCCTGTGCTCCTCAGAGTCCCAGCAGGAGGCCAGTCCCTGTGCTCCTCAGAGTCACAGCAGGAGGCCAGTCCCTGTGCTCCTCAGAGTCACAGCAGGAGGCCAGTCCCTGTGCTCCTCAGAGTCCCAGCAGGAGGCCAGTCCCTGTGCTCCTCAGAGTCACAGCAGGAGGCCAGTCCCTGTGCTCCTCAGAGTCACAGCAGGAGGCCAGTCCCTGTGCTCCTCAGAGTCCCAGCAGGAGGCCAGTCCCTGTGCTCCTCAGAGTCCCAGCAGGAGACCAGTCCCTGTGCTCCTCAGAGTCCCAGCAGGAGACCAGTCCCTGTGCTCCTCAGAGTCCCAGCAGGAGTCCAGTCCCTGTGCTCCTCAGAGTCACAGCAGGAGGCCAGTCCCTGTACTCCTCAGAGTCCCAGCAGGAGGCCAGTCCCTGTGCTCCTCAGAGTCCCAGCAGGAGGCCAGTCCCTGTGCTCCTCAGAGTCCCAGCAGGAGACCAGTCCCTGTGCTCCTCAGAGTCACAGCAGGAGGCCAGTCCCTGTGCTCCTCAGAGTCACAGCAGGAGGCCAGTCCCTGTGCTCCTCAGAGTCCCAGCAGGAGGCCAGTCCCTGTGCTCCTCAGAGTCCCAGCAGGAGGCCAGTCCCTGTGCTCCTCAGAGTCCCAGCAGGAGGCCAGTCCCTGTGCTCCTCAGAGTCACAGCAGGAGTCCAGTCCCTGTGCTCCTCAGAGTCACAGCAGGAGGCCAGTCCCTGTGCTCCTCAGAGTCACAGCAGGAGGCCAGTCCCTGTGCTCCTCAGAGTCACAGCAGGAGGCCAGTCCCTGTGCTCCTCAGAGTCACAGCAGGAGGCCAGTCCCTGTGCTCCTCAGAGTCCCAGCAGGAGGCCAGTCCCTGTGCTCCTCAGAGTCCCAGCAGGAGGCCAGTCCCTGTGCTCCTCAGAGTCCCAGCAGGAGTCCAGTCCCTGTGCTCCTCAGAGTCCCAGCAGGAGTCCAGTCCCTGTGCTCCTCAGAGTCCCAGCAGGAGACCAGTCCCTGTGCTCCTCAGAGTCCCAGCAGGAGGCCAGTCCCTGTGCTCCTCAGAGTCACAGCAGGAGGCCAGTCCCTGTGCTCCTCAGAGTCACAGCAGGAGGCCAGTCCCTGTGCTCCTCAGAGTCACAGCAGGAGGCCAGTCCCTGTGCTCCTCAGAGTCACAGCAGGAGGCCAGTCCCTGTGCTCCTCAGAGTCACAGCAGGAGGCCAGTCCCTGTGCTCCTCAGAGTCCCAGCAGGAGGCCAGTCCCTGTGCTCCTCAGAGTCCCAGCAGGAGACCAGTCCCTGTGCTCCTCAGAGTCCCAGCAGGAGACCAGTCCCTGTGCTCCTCAGAGTCACATCAGGAGACCAGTCCCTGTGCTCCTCAGAGTCCCAGCAGGAGTCCAGTCCCTGTGCTCCTCAGAGTCCCAGCAGGAGGCCAGTCCCTGTGCTCCTCAGAGTCCCAGCAGGAGGCCAGTCCCTGTGCTCCTCAGAGTCCCAGCAGGAGGCCAGTCCCTGTGCTCCTCAGAGTCACAGCAGGAGTCCAGTCCCTGTGCTCCTCAGAGTCACAGCAGGAGGCCAGTCCCTGTGCTCCTCAGAGTCCCAGCAGGAGTCCAGTCCCTGTGCTCCTCAGAGTCCCAGCAGGAGGCCAGTCCCTGTGCTCCTCAGAGTCCCAGCAGGAGACCAGTCCCTGTGCTCCTCAGAGTCCCAGCAGGAGACCAGTCCCTGTGCTCCTCAGAGTCACATCAGGAGACCAGTCCCTGTGCTCCTCAGAGTCCCAGCAGGAGTCCAGTCCCTGTGCTCCTCAGAGTCCCAGCAGGAGGCCAGTCCCTGTGCTCCTCAGAGTCCCAGCAGGAGGCCAGTCCCTGTGCTCCTCAGAGTCCCAGCAGGAGGCCAGTCCCTGTGCTCCTCAGAGTCACAGCAGGAGTCCAGTCCCTGTGCTCCTCAGAGTCACAGCAGGAGGCCAGTCCCTGTGCTCCTCAGAGTCACAGCAGGAGGCCAGTCCCTGTGCTCCTCAGAGTCACAGCAGGAGGCCAGTCCCTGTGCTCCTCAGAGTCACAGCAGGAGGCCAGTCCCTGTGCTCCTCAGAGTCCCAGCAGGAGGCCAGTCCCTGTGCTCCTCAGAGTCACAGCAGGAGGCCAGTCCCTGTGCTCCTCAGAGTCCCAGCAGGAGTCCAGTCCCTGTGCTCCTCAGAGTCCCAGCAGGAGGCCAGTCCCTGTGCTCCTCAGAGTCCCAGCAGGAGGCCAGTCCCTGTGCTCCTCAGAGTCACAGCAGGAGTCCAGTCCCTGTGCTCCTCAGAGTCCCAGCAGGAGTCCAGTCCCTGTGCTCCTCAGAGTCCCAGCAGGACGCCAGTCCCTGTGCTCCTCAGAGTCCCAGCAGGAGACCAGTCCCTGTGCTCCTCAGAGTCACAGCAGGAGGCCAGTCCCTGTGCTCCTCAGAGTCACAGTTGGTTCATATGGGACTAACATGTCTCTCTGAGCCACAAGAAGCTCTTGGTGGTTTTTGATTAATAATTTTGATAACTTTTTGTTTTTCCTGAGTTTTATACAAGTCGATGTTATGAACAAATCTGTCTTTGTCTCATTAGAAAACATTAATTTGGAAACGAGAATGTCACTGTTGGACACTATGTAATAAGAGCTGATGGACTTTTCTGATCTAAAGCTGTGACTGAGGACAACATACAGCTGCAGAACCAAAATACAGCCACAGAACCAAAATACAGCTGCAGAACCAAAATACAGCCACAGAACCAAAATACAGCTGCAGAACCAAAATACAGCTGCAGAACCAAAATACAGCCACAGAACCAAAATACAGCCACAGAACCAAAATACAGCCGCAGAACCAAAATACAGCCGCAGAACCAAAATACAGCCGCAGAACCAAAATACAGCCGCAGAACCAAAATACAGCTGCAGAACCAAAATACAGCCACAGAACCAAAATACAGCCACAGAACCAAAATATAGCCGCAGAACCAAAATACAGCCGCAGAACCAAAATACAGCCACAGAACCAAAATACAGCCGCAGAACCAAAATACAGCCGCAGAACCAAAATACAGCCACAGAACCAAAATACAGCCACAGAACCAAAATACAGCCACAGAACCAAAATACAGCCGCAGAACCAAAATACAGCCGCAGAACCGAAATACAGCCACAGAACCAAAATACAGCCGCAGAACCAAAATACAGCCGCAGAACCAAAATACAGCCGCAGAACCAAAATACAGCTGCAGAACCAAAATACAGCCACAGAACCAAAATACAGCCACAGAACCAAAATACAGCCGCAGAACCAAAATACAGCCGCAGAACCAAAATACAGCCACAGAACCAAAATACAGCCGCAGAACCAAAATACAGCCACAGAACCAAAATACAGCCACAGAACCAAAATACAGCCACAGAACCAAAATACAGCCGCAGAACCAAAATACAGCCGCAGAACCAAAATACAGCCACAGAACCAAAATACAGCCACAGAACCAAAATACAGCCGCAGAACCAAAATACAGCCGCAGAACCAAAATACAGCCACAGAACCAAAATACAGCCGCAGAACCAAAATACAGCCACAGAACCAAAATACAGCCACAGAACCAAAATACAGCCACAGAACCAAAAT